AACTCTGTGTTTCGCCTCTGCCAATGGTGATGGGTGTAAACAGGTAAGGTTTTTGTAGGGTAAATAGTGGGCATCATCATTCCCAAGGTACAATCAATTTGCATTTTAAATGGAAGTTTTTTTATAAGCCCATCTCCCACAGATATAAAGAAAGAAAAAAAGGTGGCGCCACAGAGATAATATATAAAATTAAATATAAGCAAGTAGTAATATAGAAATAAACAATGCTGTATAATACAGAGAGAGAACAATAAAAATATATAAACATATATAACCATAATATATATATATATATATATATCAAAAAGGAAAGAGATGCACTCTCAGGTCTTTGTAAAAAAACTCAATATTATTTAATAACAGGTAACATACATCTGATCGACGTTTCGACCTCTTCAGGTCTTCCTCAAGATCAATATACAAAACATATACAACACAAATATATAGGCAACATAGGAGGAGTTACTCACCAAACAAACAGTGCACACCGGTTTCCATTAGTCCGAACCCGGGCTGGCTACACTCACCTGAACATGCATAAATGGGGGTGCTGCTGGGGGCCAAATAATACACTACACAAGATCCAGCTCACTCACCCATCCACTAAACAGCAAGTTCAATGTTGAAAGATTTTATTAGTTTTTTTAAAAACACCTAATCTAGGCAAAAATAATAAATAAATAAATATAAGTTCAAAACGAGTCCAGTAAAACCTTTGGATGGGAGAACAATCACAGTTCTGTCTGAGGTAGAGACTAGTGTGGGATCGAGGTGTTCATGGGATCCGTATGAAAGAGAAAAGAAAATCTAATAGTGCAGAAATAGGTAGCAGCAGATAACAAAAATGGTCTATATGGTCCTACTCATGTTTTTGAGAGCTAAAAACTAGCTCTAGTATAAACAGCATACAGTGGTATAATCCCCACTTATGGGATACATGAGGGAGTGTTGTAAGTAGATATTTCATCAGATAAAGCCAGGAAAGTGTATAAAAATTCCAAATGGTTACTCACATTTAATTGGGCAGACACACTGCTCAATTATACAGCACAAGTGATATAATCCCCACGAAGGATGCTTTGGAATAGTATCTCTCTGGTACAAGTAAAACTCAGATGCTAGGTAGTAAAATAATACAAATGGTAAAAAAGAAAAAATGGCTAACTCACAACAAAGAAAGTGGCCAAAATAACTTTATTAAAATAGTTTGTTAAAATTTCCACAACGCGTTTCTCCCCTCAAGGCTTTCTCAAGTTATTTTTATTGTTCACTCTCTGTATTATATATCATTGTTTATTTCTATATTACTACTTGCTTATATCTAATTTTATATATTATTTCAGTGGCGCCACCTTTTTCTCCTTCCTTATACCTATAGGGCCTGTGGGGGAGCCCTATCCTTTAAGTGTCCTGCCTTTAGTTAAGTGCCAATTCTTCTGTAAACTGTAAGAAATTAGCTTTTCTTGAGATTTGTCACACACCAGTGTTCGAATAATCGAATCAGAGTGTCTTGCAGCCAAAAATGTATATTTATTCAAACTTGTATATAGTTTAGATTGACCAGAAAACACAATCGGTTCGATTTAGTCTATGAAATAATGTCCTCTCCAATCGAATCCACAAGCACAGTCTTTGTCCATAATGTCCTTTGAAATTCCAAACAATTTGTCCTTTTAAAAAACAAACAAAAAAAAAACACAGGTTATTTGTCCATGAACAAACATTATTGGTTCTGTAATGAAAAACAGATGTCAGTTTACTATTCTGATACATTAGTAAATTTCATATGTTAGTAAGTTTCTTTTACATTGATCACTAAGCACAATAATTGATTTATTACATTTTGTACCAATGTTTGCTTTTTAAACCTGTAACACAGTTTGTCCTAATTTTTATTTTTAGAATAACATAAGGACCTTCCCAACTTGCTTTTCAGAGACCTGGTGTTTTAAATGATTTCACCATCACCTTATTTCCTGGTTTAAACTTATCTGCATAGTTCCCCTGTGTTACTTCTTTAATACATAGTTAACCATAAGGGACCATATTTGAAGCAACAAACTTCAAATCTGATAACAGTTACAGGACAAAAGGTTCATTAGGGAAAGTGATTACATGGTTCTACCTGTCATTAAGTCATGAGGTGACACTTGAGTTTGGAGTTGAACAAATAGACATTAATACTCCTGGGAAATATGTTACCCAATTACTCCCTTTATCTTCAATCATTTTGTTTTTTCAATTTAGATTATACTGTAATTTAATTTAAAGTAAATTTATATAGCGACCCATGGTCTTTTTTTACCAAAGGTAATCTCTGCAATTTTGGTTTCTAGTATTTAGGTCTTGGATTAATTGATCATATATGAGACACTTCTAAAATAAACCACTAGGTACAAATGTTTGTGTTTCATTATGTTTAACCCCGTACAAGCCAGTTTCTGTATCGAACTCCATTGTTTCTAGGTTCAAACGGATTTTGTGTCATCGAAAATGTACAACAGTGCGATGGGATAGCAAAATAGGAGACACGCAGGTCTCGCAAAAATCGGGAACAGCAATATGATTATAAATGAATGTAAACCTAAACAATATTAACAGTTAGAAGGTATTACAGTTTCAGTATCAGTAAACACATCATGTTACATGCATTCAATATGCAGAGGTCCTTCTGTCACAGAGTGCCTCAAACCATGTCAGGTCCCTATGTAGGGCTTCTCTGTGCGATAGGGTTTGGTAGAAATATTAAATTTTTGTGTAGCGGAAGATTTGCATTGTGGATGGTTAGTTGTTGTCTATCAGTTCCCGTAGTGGTAATATGCCTGTGTTATTTAGCATCTTATAGATGGGGAGGGATTCTCCCCCACCTAGGATACTCCAAGATGTCGGCGGTAGCCCACCTCCTATATGGGGGTTATATGGTAGCTGTATCATCGGGCTCGGTGTTGGAGACAGCTGTGGAATTCTTATGATGCTGTCCCACGTTTTTAGCATCTGTGCCACAGTGGAGGTGCAGTTTAGGGGCATCAGTGGGGGTCTCTTCGAGTTCCATACTGTAGTGTGTAGGGACGACACCATTTGGTTCTTATCTAGTTCAATCCATTGTTTGTGTACTGGGTGAGTATGCCATTCCAAGACCTGTTGTAGCACTGTAGCATGATGGTATTTGCTTAGATCTGGCAGTGCTGTTCCACCCCACGCTCATGGCAGGCATAGGATTTCTTGTCTGAGTCTCGCCTGTCCCCCACTCCACACGAATCGTATCATAGCGGTCCGAAGCGATTGAAAGTATGCTGTCGGTAGGGCTAGAGGTATCATTTGGTAGAGGTATAGGATCCGGGGCAGTATGTTCATTTTCAGGATCGCTATTCGCCGAACCTCGAAATATATGGGTATGACCACGTCTGTGAGTCTCTCTGTATTGTTTGTAGCAAGGGTAGGAAGTTCGTCCGATACATGTCTCCCAGATCCCTGTTAAGGGCTATGCCCAGGTATTGCATGTGGGTCGGGCACCATCTGAATGGGAATTGGCGCTTCAATATGTTGACTTGTGTCGGTAAGTACCTCACATTTGGGTATGTTCAGTTTAAATCCCGATATCTCCCCATAGGTATCAAATGTCGACATCAAGTGTGGTAGGGTGGTATCGGGTTTGTTGGTAATAAATAAAAGATCGTGTGCATATGCTGCTACTTTGTGGGTAGTGCCCTTGTCGGAGAATCTTAGAATATCATCTGATCTCCGCAACCACCTCCAGGAATGGTTCAAGGGTGAGTGCGAAGAGCATAGGGGAGAGCGGACATCCCTGCCGTGTTCCGTTCTGGATCAGAAAGGATTCAGTGAGAGCACCGTTCACTCTTACTTTGGCACTTGGGCAATGATATAGCGCTCCTATCCACTTCATTATGTTCTCCCCGAAGCCCATCTCCTGCAGCGTAGCCATAAGGAACGACCAGTTTACCCCATCGAATGCTTACTCAGCATCTGTGGAAAGTAATAGGAGGTTGTCTTTTGACCGCTTCGCCAGGTGTTGGATGGATTGGACCCCAAGAGTGCTATCCCTGGCCTCGCATCCTGGTATGAATCCCGTCTGATTCGGGTGGACCAGTTTCGGCAGTAGGCCTCCGATCTATATCTTGGTCAGTAGTTTTACATCCACATTGAGTAGGGAGATCGGTCTATGGCTGCTGCATAGTTCGGGGTCTTTCCCTGGCTTCAGGAGAACCATGATTGTAGTTGCCAGTGACTCCTGGTGGCATTGAGCGTCCTCGATGAGAGCGTTGAATGCATTGGTAAGATTTGAGATTAAGATGTGTTGGAATTTCTTATAATATTCTAGGGTGAAGCTGTCTGGGCACAGCGCTCGACCTGTTTTAGCTGCTTTGATCGCTCCTGCCAACTCCGCCTCTGTTATCGGTACCTCCAAGTCCTCTGATTCCCCTCGTTGCAGTCTCATCCCCACATAGGTTTCAATGTAGTTACGCATTTTTTCGTTCTTATCCGCTATCTCATTTGGTTGTGTCGGTTGCAGGATATTATCTAGTGAGGAGTAGAATGTTCGAAATTCCGAGGCGATCTTATCCAGAAATCATGTGATTGTGCCATCAGCTTGCCGTAGTCTGTTGACCTGGGCTAGTCCTTGAGGGCCTTTAAGCATCCTGGCCAGTAGTCTCCCGCCTTGGTTAGCATGTTGATAAAAGAAGGTCTTCGAGCGTTGCAATGAACGGTAGTGACGGGTCGTCATATATGTCTGAAGCTGTCTCCGGGCTTCCAGTAGCTCCACGTATGTCGACTCGAGGTGTGATCTTTTATGCTGTGTCTCGAGTGTAGATATGCGTTCCACAAGGTCGGTTATTTGTCCTCGAGATTCTTTTCTCTTTTTAGAAGCCAGGTGCATCAGTGTGCCTCTAATAACGCTTTTATGTGCCTCCCAGATCGTGGGTTGCAATGTGGTCTTCTGGTGCGTTGAGCATAAAATATGAATTGAGTTCTTCGGAGACCTGTTCCTTTACTGTTAGGTTAAGCAGTAGCGAGTCTTGGAGCCTCCATGCCCACGAGGTTGGGTGCATCCTTTGGGAATCTATCTTCAGAATGACTGGTCCATGGTCGGACCATTGTGCAGCTCCTATCTCAGCTGTTTGCATTGTTGTTAATTGTTCTTGTTGCATGAATATATCCTCTATTCTCGAGTAGCGTTTGTGGATCATGGAGTAGTGGGTGTATTCCCTGTCGTCGGGATACATTGCGCGTCAGCAATCCACCAGTCGAAGGTTCCATAAGGATTTTAGTATATTTCAGAGAGCACCTTGAGTTATGCAGCTGTGTCCCGTAGACGAGTCGGTGAGAGGGTGTAGTGGTACGTTGAAATCTCCGCCTAGGATCAAGGTTCCTTCTGTAAAGGAGGAGAGCCTGAGGAGGGTTTTGCGTATGTATTGGGCTTAGTTATTGTTTGGGACGTAGATTGTTGCGAAAGTGGATAGTCTATCTTGAATATCTCCTTTAAGGAAGAGATACCTGCCATTTGCATCCGACAGTCGGTCTGCTTTGCGGAATTGTAGCTTCGCCTCTAGGAGGATAGCTACCCCCGCCCTGCGGGCTGTTGGATGGTTACTACAGGTGGCATTGGGATAGTGCTTACTTTCCAGCATTTAGGCTGCGCCCTCTTTGAAGTGTGTCTCTTGCAGGAAGGCTATAAATATACGTCTGATGTAGAGGTCCCATAGGAGTTGTGTCCTGCGCTCCGGGATGTTGAGACCATGGCAGTTCAAGGATAAGATTCGGGCTTGTAGGTCGTGAGAGGGTGAGGGTCCATGGTGACTCCCAGCAGCATCGCGTCCCACACGGGTTGGGGGGAGTGGGGCGGAGAGAGAGAAGAAAAAAGAAAGAAGAAAAAAGAAAAGAGAGGGTGGGGAAGAAAAAAAGGGGGGGAGGGGTGCAGGTGTTAAGAGAGAGCTTGAGAAAATGGAGGGGGTAACAATCACCCCTTCACTCTCCTTCCCCTTCCAAGCGACGTTACCTCAGTTAGAATTGAAGTTAGTAAGTGAGAATTAGAGTGCTCGCCTCTCATGAGAGACGACGATTACGCCTATATGTAGGTGTCAAGTAACCCTCCTAGGAGGGAGTTTTCATATGACCATGGCAGCAAGCAACAGTCGGGTCTGCTAGAACAAGTCCAGCAGTGTCCAACTACCGCTTCCCCGTGGGAAGGGTTTGTTCACACGAATATGTTCGGGGTTAGTGTGTGTCCGTCAAGCATCACCACTCTGGGTGATTCCTCTTCTATGTGAAGAGTTAGATTAGAATCGTGGGCAACCTACGGGTGCTCTGTAACCTCATCATTAGTCATATGTCACTCACGTGGACTAGTGTATACAGTGAGTTGTATCGTCGGCCTAAGTAGACCTCAATGATGGGGGGGGGCATATGTCGTCTTTTTAGTAGACACGGTGTGGTCTAGGTGGGGGCTAACCTTGCCTATATCACAGTCCCCTGTGGGGGCAGTATGAGTATGTGCAAATTGTCATGCATTGCTGTATGTTGGGGTGGGGAGAGAGCACATCGTAACTTCAGGCTGGGGGGTTTAGGCGTGTAAATAGGGGTGTCTGCCTGTGAGGGTCAATGATCCGATCCGGTCAAGTTGTGCGCGTCCATTGCTCAGCGTGATGCGGGGGTGTCGGGAGGGGGGCCAAGTCACCGTCACCTGCAGCAGCTCATGCTGTGTTTTTTGTATGACACGGGTTGTCAGTTGTCTAGGGGGTGAGCTAGGCCAATGTTATCTGCCTACCTGAGGTGGGGAAGGTGCATACATGTCACATGGGAAAATGCATAACATACATGACATTTCACCCGTCACATTGAGGCCTAAACTTGAGATAGTCGGGTATAAAAAAGCCTGTATACATGTACATGGTAAGGTGCATATTATACATTACATTTTTCCCTTTGCGTGTAGGCCTGGATTTGATACAGTTGGTTACATAATGGCCTGTATACATTCCACAGTTCCTATTGTTGTATTGTATTCCCCTTTCTTTTTATACTTTTATCCCTTTAAAACAATTTTTTTTTATTTTTTTTTATTATAGGATAATGATTCATGTAGACTCACCCTACCCCCATCCCCCTGTATACTGAGCTTCCCAATCCCCCCTCCACCCTCTGTCCCCCCCATCCTCCATCCCCGCATAAACCTATAGTAGAGTGTTCTGCATTCCGCCAATCATGGTCAGTCCAGGCGTAGCCAACAGCTGGAAGGGTTCAGATGTAGGGGGCAGTAGCTTAGAAGGCAGATGTCCCATGTCTCGTGCTGGTTACAGCCATCCTCCTCGGGTGACAGAGCCCCTCAAAGCTAGTAATGTCCGTCCCAGGCCCCCCTCCCAAAACAGGCCATCCAACTCCAGGAGGAAGAAAAAGGGAAAAAAATGTGGGGGCAAGTGGAGTCCAAGTCACCGTAGGAGAGACATGATGGGGGGGAAATCTTGACCCCCGTAGTGAGACGTGGAAGCCTCCCACCCGGTCTATGGTAGCAATATGGGCAGATCTAACCCCATCCCCCACCCAAAGAGAAAAAAGGAAAAAAATAAATTAAAACAATTAAATTACAAGTGGCAGGCCAGGTGCCCACCCGAGCCAGTCGGAAGAAGCTGGCCCAGTGGCGTACATACCGGTTCGCAGGGGCGGCCGGGCCCCCTGGTGGGCCGGGCCCGGTCGCAGCCGCGACCCCTGCGACCCTGGTATGTATGCCACTGCACACAGACTGCTGAACACATTCACACACTGACTGCTAAATACATACACACACCGGCTGCAAAATACATGCACACACACCGGCTACTAAATACACACACACACACAGTCCGCTAAATACACACACACACAGTCCGCTAAATACACACACATGCAGTCCGCTGAATACACACACACACAGTCCGCTGAATACACATTCAGACAGACTGCTGAATACACATACAGACAAACTGCTGAGTACACACAGACTGCTGAGTACATACACACAGTCTGTTGAATACACACACACAGTCTGCTGAATACATACACTGCCGAATACACACACACAGACTGCTGAGTACACACACAGACTGCTGAGTACATACACACAGACTGCTGAGTACATACACACAGTCTGCTGAATGCATACACACAGACTGCTGAATACATACACACAGACATCTGAGTACACACAGACTTCTGAATACATACACACACACAGAGACTGCTGAATACATACACTGCTGAATACACACCCAGACAGACTGCTGAATACATACACGCAGACTGCTGAAAACACACACTGCTGAATACACACACACAGAATGCTGAATATGAATACACACACAGAGACTGCTGAATACATACACTGCTAAATACACACACAGACAGACTGCTGAATACACCCACAGAGAGTGCTGAGTACACACACAGTCTGCTGAATACACGTACTGCTGAGTACACACAGTCTGCTGAATACATACACATATACACACACAGACTGATGAATACACACACATACAGACAGCTGAATACAAACACACATACTGCATTGAGGGGTGCAGTGTATGTGTTTGTGTGTAAGGGTGTGGAATGCTGTGTGTGTGTGTGAGGGGTGTTGTGTATGAGGGGTGCTGTGTGTGTGTGGGGTGCTGTGTGTGTGCCGGGTAGGGGTGCTGTGTGTGGGGGAAGGCATGCTGTGTGTGGGGGAAGGGGTGCTGTGTGGGAGGTAGGGGTGCTGTGTGGTGGTAGGGGTGCTGTGGGGGTTAGGGTGCTGTGTGAGGGTAGGGGTGCTATGGGGTAAGGGTGCTGTGTGGGTAGGGGTGCTGTGGGAGTAGGTGTGCTGTGGGGGTAGGTGTTCTGTGGGGGGGTAGGGTGCTGTGTGTGGGGGGAAGGTGCTGTGCTGTGTGGGTGGTAGGGGTGCTGTGCTGTGTGGGAGTAGGGGTGCTGTGCTGTATGTGGGGGTAAGGGTGCTGTGTTGTGTGGGGGTAGGGGTAGGGTTGCTGTGTTGTGTGTGGTGGTAGGGGTGCTGTGTGGAGGGTAGGGGTGTTGTACTGTATGTGGGGGTAGGAGTGCTGTATGTAGGGGGAAGGGGTGCTGTGGGGGTAGGGATGCTGTGGGGGTAGGTGTGATGTGCTGTGTGGGGGGTAGGAGTAAAAATAAATTTAAAAAAAAAGATATATATTAATTCTGTATCCTCCCCCTCCCTTCCTCTTACCTTTGGTGAAGGAGAGGGGGGGGACACAGCCATCCCTGGTGGTCCGGTGGTGGTAAGTATGTTTCTGGTAGCTAGGAAGCAGCTCTCCTGCCCTCCCGCACAATGCTGTGTGGAGCGTTGCCATGGTAATGCGCAGCAACGCTCAACACAGCATCACGCGGGAGGACGGGAAAGCTGCTTCCTAGAGCCCTCCCCCTGTCCTCCCAACACGGAAGCAGAGTAGGCACCTGCCGTTTTGGGCAGGCAGGTGCCTACTCTGCAGACAGCCAGCGGTACCCTCTCCCGGCGACCTATGGCCGCGTGCCAACAGAGAGGGCCAGGCGTGCTACCTGTGGCACGCGTGCCATAGGTTCGCCATCACTGATATAATCCATCAACATAAAATCTTGTTCCTCCACATACAAACAAGAAATCCCTTGTATTGCTTGTTTCTCAAAAGGAGATCTGGATTCTATTTCCATTTCCTTTTGACAATCATGTGGCATTCCCTGTATTTCCATCAAATCAGGAATAACATATTTTTTTACTGGTTTCTATCCTAAGTGGTTTATCTTGTATCTTCAATATCCAATGAGCCACCCTCTAGCTATGTACTCCTAACTCAGAACAATTTTAACAGTTTAAAGGTGTGTGGCGTTTATAATTATCTGTCCAAATCCTACAATGTGTTGTGTTGCTTCTAAAGTCCAACTTACAGCCATGAGCTGTTTTACACTGGAAAACATTACTCTTTCCCTGGAGACATCATTTTAGAAAAATATCCCAGTATTCATAAAGAGCCATGTTACCTTTGCATCAAAACCGCTATTAATGAAGAGACACCTGTGTAACATTGAACAATATATGGCCATATCATATATGAATTCTATGCTAAAATTTATCAAGCCTACAATTGTCCTTAGATCAGACACTATCATTGGCCTTGGCAATTGCTGTAATGCTTTAACCCTTGCAGTACATGGTGTTTTATATTCTGGATCTATATTAACTCCTAGGAAAACCACTCTTCATCACAGAATA